GCCCCGCTCCGGCCGCGGGGCCTCAGTTTCCCTTCCTGCAGAGGCTAGCAGGCTAATGTGCAGGCTTCAAGCCAGGGTCCTGCGGGATGCAGATGGGGCCGGGGGGGGGGTGCGGGCGGGACACTCAGTTCAGAGCGCTCGGGGTGCACATCCCGGGGCGGGGTCCCGGGACACGCTCTGGGGTCGGCCCTGTGCGCCCTCTGGCGGCAGCGAGGGGTGCTACAGGGGCGCCCGGGCTTCGTCGTAAGGGTTCCCCTGCAGCTTCTCTTGATGAGAGCCCAAGTTTTAAGACAGAGTCTCAATTAGCCACGTCTGGCCCTGAACTCCTAAACCTCCTGCCTCTGCCTCCTAAGTGCTTCGATTTCAGACTTAAGCCGCCACACCCAACTCCTTTTCTCTTTTTGATTCTTAGAAGCTGATCAGAGGTGGACCCTGGGACCTCAGGAAAGTTAATCAAATGCTCCGTCTCCGAGCTGGGCCTCACCCTTGAGCTACCATTTAGTTTACCTCACTCATTTCATTTACCCATCTATCCATTCATTTATGTGTCACTTGCTCCAGCACAAGGTATTCACTGAGTAGTGTCAGCCGCCTGTAACCCTTGGCGCTTAGGGGGTGGAGGCAGGAGATTCAGGAATTCACGGTGAGCATGGGTTACATAGTAAGCTTCCGAGTTCCAGGACAGTCTGAGCTGCAGACCTGCCTTAAAGCAAACAGAGCCTGGAAGGGTGAGATGGACCCATTGGTAAGGGGCTTTGTGCTATGCCTAAGGACCTGAGTCTGTCTCAACTCCTGTAACTTATCCTCAGACCACTACAGGTGCCACCATGTGAGCATGTACCAGGGTCACCGAGGTCGCAGGGTCTCCGCTCGAGGGCCAGTGTCTCAGGCCACCTCCGTCCCCCAGCCCCGGCCCCTCTGGGTCTCACCCTGCCGCGGTACAGCTCCTCCAAGCGTCCGTCGATCCACTTCTCCACGTCCAGCCGCCGCTGCAGCTCCCGCCGGTCGTACTTGACGGTGACTCGCGCGTGCCGCTTCTGCAGCCCACCGGGGCTGCCCCCCGGGCCGCGGGCCCGCGACGGGGACTGAAGCTTGCTTAGCACGCGCTTGCCCAGCCGCTGCGCTGCCATCGCGCCGCCGCCCGCCGTCCCCACTTGAGTGCTGCCTCGCGCTCGGGGCTCTTA